CAACCCGCATGGGTATTCAGCTTCATATATATTGATTTTATATGTGTCATGATAAAATGAATGGTTCTTCTGCAGGTCTATAGTTATCCAAATTCATTGTGTAATATATCAAATTAAAGCTCTATCTTTCTAGTTTCCAAAGATTCAAACTGCTCATCAATTAGATTTTTATTGAGTAAGTTATGGCCAATTTACTACTGATTGTTCAATGAAAATCGAGAAATAGGGGAAACCAAAATGTGTGTGATGATAAAAGGAATGGTTCGGAAGTGGGGCTAAATTTATCCAAATTGAGCGTGTAATATACCAAATTAAAGCCCTATATTCTAGTTTCTAAAGATTCAAACCTCTCATCAATTGGAGTTTTATTGGGCAAGTTATGGTCAATTTACTACTGACTATTCAGTGGAAACCGAAATGTGTGTGATGATAAAAGAAATGGTTCGGCAGGGGGGCTACAGTTATCCAAATTAAATGTATAATATATCTAATTAAATCCCTATCTGTCTAGTTTTCAAATATTCAAACCGCTCATCAATTGGATTTTTATTAAGCAAGTTATGACTAATTTACTACTGATTGTTCAGTGGAAATCGAGAAACAAGAGAAACCAAAATGTGTGTGATGATAAAATGAATGGTCCAACAGTGGGGCTACAGTTATCCAAATTAAGCGTATAATTTATCAAATTAAATCCTATTTATCTAGTTTCTAAAGATTTAAACCTCTCATCAATTGGATTTTTATTGAGTAAGTTATGATCAATTTACTACTAACTGTTCAGTGGAAGCTGAAATGTGTGTGATGATGAAAGGAATAGTTCGGCAGTGGGGGCTACAGTTATCCAAATTAAGTATATAATATATAAAATTAAAGCTTTGTCTATCTAGTTTCTAAAGATTCAATCCTTCATCAATTGGATTTTTATTGAGCAAGTTATGGTCAATTTACTATTGATTGTTCAATGGAAATCGAAATGCGTGTGATGATAAAATGAATGGTTTACTCAACCCAAATTTAAGGGATTATCATATTAGGACTGATAAGAAATATTTTAATAACACCTATTATTTGGAAAATGGAATCAGCCAAAATTAATTCATTTAACATATATACTTGCACATCAACAGGACATAAACAATAAATCATTCATATAACAAATTAAAATACACGAATGTTTTTGCAGAAAACATATTCAACACAATTGAATTGTTTCTCCTAATATAAATATGACATGTACTCACAGTTCGACTGACAATATGATCATCCTCTATTTGATCTTAGTAAAGTACATGAACATTTCCTTGAAAACAAACATAACAAAATTTAATCGATCTTCATGTTAAGATTTGTTAAGGAACAATTATTCATTTGTATAACAACTGTTACCTTAAAAAGAAATCAACAAAAGTTAATTAATCTTCATATTAAAATTGTTAATAAATACACTTACCGTTCAGCAAGACTAACACAATTAATCATTCAAATAGATTGATCGAACAAAAACAATCATTCAATAATATAATAACCGTTAAAATAGTTAGGAGATATACTTACAATTTCGTATTAAAATAGTTAGAAGATATGCTTACACTTTAGAAGAACGAATCAAAATAATAACTCATTTGATAATGTTAATCGGACATCCTGCCTTTATTCCATGCCAATTCATGAATCTTTGACCTGTAAACAATAACAAAAGCATAAATAAATAAAAAATCGTCGATTAATAATATCATGAAGAACAGACATATTATTGACACAAATTAACATGACCTATAAACAATTAACAAAAGACCAGACATATTGTTGACACCAACTAACATATTGCAATAATACACAACTGAACATACGCCCCTTTTATAACCCTTTATTTAGACCTTTCAAATACCAACATAATTAAATACGAATTGAATACAAATAAATGTTTGCACTATCAATACAATGCATCTATATAATTAGAGCAATGCTAGTTTTACAAAGACACATACAAAGACAATCACCACCCTTGATTTTCATGATTTCTCTCTCTCTCTCTTTTTCCCTTTTTTCTTTGTTTTTTTCTTCTTGATGATGTCACTTTGTAGCCCTCTTTGTATGAGTTTTTGTAAGGATAGCATTTTTCATATAATTATTAATAAACAGGTATGCTTTTACTACCAATGCAATGCAACTATGTAATACAATATTTATGTATATTTATTTGGACTTTGGAATACTAATGCAACAATTAATATTGTCTATATCATCAACAATAAAATTCAACCATATGACAATCACAAATCCAAGGTGTCCTTATGGTTAGACCTTTAGAATGCCAATGCAATGCACCTATGTAATCTATTCTTTATGTCTAGGGCTGTTATCGAGCCGAGCCGAGCCGAGTTTTTGGCTTAACGAGCTCGGCTCGTGAGTAGGGAGGAGAAATTGAGTTCGAGCCGAGTCGAGCCGAGCCTCTGATTTTCTGGCTCGGTTCGGCTCGTGAAGGAAGGAGGGGAATTCGAGCCTGGTTCGCGAGCCAGCTTAACGAGCTGAGTTCAAGCCGGCTCGCAAGCCGATAAAAAATAATTTAAAAAAAAAATATTAAGAGCAGATTTCAATATTTTTGAATTCAAAATACCCTTTGTTTGTTTGTATGCATGTAGTAAAAAAACCAATGGTCAATAAAATGCATCTGTTATATTGTCCCATTTGGCTTGAAACTCACGCAGGCTCACATTCCAAATAACTTTTTCGTGCAAATTACTCATGCAGGCTGCAGCTTTACAAATGTGAAATGTCACTTCTTTTAAGCTAAAGTCTAAAATAGCCCTAACTCTTATTAGATCTGCGAGCAATATCGCACACATACCTTTACAAGCCAACACTTTCAGCAACCTTGACGATGGCGACGGCGACAACGAGATGGGTTTGACAGTGACAAAACAAAAGGAAAACATGAAGCGTCCAGACATGGGCGAGATTTGAAGAGATAAATACAACAAGTATGCGATAACACTGCGATAACACAACAATGAAGCATATGGGTTTGAGTCGTTTGACGACGATGAGGAAAGACACCAGAGCGGCTGAAAAGTTGGTTGAAATTCTTTACTCGTTTTGGTTTTACAGTAAACAGTGGTGGAGTCGCGTTTTTAGGGATTGCAAAATGGGGGGATCTTTGTCATTTTTGCAAACCTTTTTCTTTGAAAATTTTAGTTTAATCCTCCATACTGTAAAAAACCCCTAATATGCCCCTACGAATTTCGAGCCGAATGCGGCTCGAACTCGGCTCGTTTCCTCTCATGAATCAAGCTAAGCCAGCTCGAATACAGTCGAGTCGAGCCGTTAACGAGCCAGACTCGAGTCGAGTCAAGCCGGCTCGCGAGCGGCTCGATTCGTTAAACAGTCCTATTTATGTCTATTTATTTAGACTTTGAAATATCAATGCAACAATTAATATTGTCTACATCATCACCAATAAAATTTAACCACATGACAATCACAAATATAAGGTGTCATTATGGTTAGACCTTTAGAATGCTAATGCAATGCACCTATATAATTAGAATTGTTCCCAATTTTTTAATTAATTAATAATTATAGATGGAGTAATAAATATCAATCCAACGTGTCAAGATAGAGCAATTTCATTGGTTTATCAATCCAATATGTCAAAATGGAGCAATTCTAGAGCTTCCAAAATGTGCCACATGGTGAACAATTCGCATGGGTATTTATGGCGAACAACCAGTATGGGTATTCATGAATCTTAGAGCTAAAAATATCTCATTAAACCATACATCCAACGTGGCAAGAGAGACCAATTCTAGAGCTCCAAAATAAAACAATTTTAGAGCTAAAATATTTTAAATATTTATTAAATACTTATCAAAATACTAATTTTGAATATAAAATAAAAGTACTTTAAGAAATAAAATGTCTCTTTTTTTATCATTATACATCTAACAATAATTTCAAAATCTAATTCACCAAACACAATCATAGATTTTAAAAATCACAATAATTATAAAAGGCCGAACGACTTGTGCATACCCAAGGTTTACCGTAACGGCAAGTTGGTATCCAAAAGGTTTTGAAACGACAAATAGGTACCTTCCACCATCGCCGGAATCTGGCCGGAAAACTGCATTACGACACAGATCCGTCGGATCTGTGTCGTAACGTGCCGATCTGGCCTTTTCCGGTCAGATCCGCCACGGATCTGGCCGGAAAAGGCAAGATCTGGCCGTCGAAGCAGCAGCCAGATCTGGCCTTTTCCGACCAGATCCGTGGCTGATCTGGCCGAAAAAGGCCAGATCTACTGCCAGATCTAGCCGTCGACGCCGCAGATGGAGTTTTGCGGCGTCGACGGCCAGATCTACTGTAGATCTGGCCTTTTCCGGCCAGATCAGCCACGGATCTGGTCGGAAAAGGCCAGATCGACGCGTTACGACACAGATCCGACGGGTCTATGTCGTAACGCAACTTTCCGGCCAGATTCCGGCGGTGGTGGCCGGAATCTGGCACTGCGGGTAATGGGGGTGTTTTTGTTATTTTACAAAATTTTTATATATTGGGGTATTTAGTTAAATTTGTAAACTTAGGGGGTTTTCAGAAATTTTTAAATTTATAAAAAACTAAAATTCAAACTTTTAAGGGCATTTTAGTCTTTTCACTATTAATAAACAGAAATCACTAACAGAACATGGCGGAAAGTACCTATTTGTCATTTTAAAACCTTTTAGGTACCAACTTATTGTTACGACAAACCTTGGGTACGTGTAAGTCATTCTCCCATTATAAAAATAGTATTTAGCAAACACATCGAAAATCATTTTCAAAGTTGGTCAGCATTCCCAAACTGCCCTTATTTTTAAAATTCAAAATCTGGTGTTTAGTTTTCAAAATTCTCTTAAATCTTAAAAATAAATAAATAAATAAATAAATTGCAAATTAGTGAATAGCCAAAAAAAGGTGATAGAAGATATATGCACAACTTGTTCTGATTTTGAAAGAAAACAAAAGGGCCCGCTTGAACCGATTCTTCAATTGTCTTCCTTACCCTACAGCTAAGAAGTCTGAAGCCATGACCAAAAACCCTTTTTGATTCTCCTTTCTTCTCTTAAAAAATCCTCATAAAAAATGACTTCTCTTCTTCACTTTTCCACTTCCCCAACCGGCCTGAGTTTCCTCCGCAACAAGACTGGCTTTCGCATCCCTTTTCAACATCGCGTCGTGAGTAGCTTTCAATTTCCCTTCCCACTTAATTTCTTATCCTCTTTCTCTACCTTTGATTTTGTTTGTTTACATATCTATTTTTCTCTTGTTAGAGATGTAATGTTGCTGAATCTTTGAAGTTCGAGAATGGAAAGCCATGCACCCCCATGTTCAGTAATAACGATGTTTTGGCTTCAAAATCTCATTTAGACATTTCGTCAAACACCAACGATACTAGGCTTCGTATATTCTCTGGCACCGCTAATCCCGCTCTCTCTCAGGTTTATATTAACTCAAATTGGTTGACAAATTTATTTGTGTTAATTTGGTGATACGTAATGGGTTATTTTGATTTTTGTATTGAATAGGAAATCGCTTGTTACATGGGTCTGGAGCTTGGAAAGATTAAGATAAAACGTTTTGCTGATGGGGAAATTTATGTTCAGTTACAAGAAAGTGTTAGAGGTTGTGATGTGTTTCTTGTACAACCCACTTGTCCTCCCGCTAATGAGAATCTTATGGAGCTTCTTATAATGATAGATGCTTGTCGTAGGGCTTCCGCCAAAAATATTACTGCTGTTATTCCGTATTTTGGGTATGCTCGTGCTGATAGAAAGGTATAAAAGGGTTATATTACATCCACCGAGTGAGTGGCAATTTGCATTATATGATCCATGTTGTGGAAGTCATTTTAGGGAGATTTTATAATCTCAAATTCAATATTTGTTTCATATATTGGTGTGCTACTGTTTTCAGACTCAAGGGCGTGAATCTATAGCCGCCAAACTTGTTGCAAACTTAATAACAGAGGCCGGTGCAAACCGTGTTCTTGCGTGTGATCTTCATTCTGGGCAGTCAATGGGTTACTTTGATATTCCTGTGGATCATGTCTATGGTCAGGTAATAATCAGTTTTCTTGTTTTTCTGTTTGGGTTTTAGTCCTCAGTATTCATAGGGGTTGATGCTAGAAAATGAAGACAATTTCAAAATACTTGGGCATTATCTCAAGTGTTAAATGGTGGGGAGTGTTGAGGACCTAAAAAATATGGTACAGAATTGAATATAGATAAGTTTGCTCCTTCAGAAAAGGCTATAGTATAAATGATATGACTTCTTTCTTATGTATGTCAGTTTATTATAATTGGGTTTATTTAGCTGTTAACTTATTAAGTTGTTACTGCCAAAGCTAAATTTGTTGCTTTCATGGCATAATTTAGTGTGTGAAAATACTTAATGCATTCTCACATGTATGAACAATCAAAATAAATGATACTCTTATGTTTCTTTCATTTCCTCTTGTAATGTTGACAGTGGCTAATGATTGTCCTTCTTTATCTCTTTGTGAACTTTAGCCAGTGATACTTGACTACCTGGCCAGCAAGACTATATGTTCTGATGATTTGGTAGTGGTCTCACCTGATGTTGGGGGTGTTGCGAGAGCACGTGCTTTTGCCAAAAAACTATCTGATGCACCTCTAGCCATTGTTGATAAAAGGCGCCATGGGCATAATGTTGCGGAGGTCAGATTCTCTTCATATGCAGTTTCTTGTGCCTCAAATGGGTTAATACAATATCCTGATTTCCCATGATAAAAAGTAGTGTTTTTAATATTTCTATACCTATATGTGCTGATAGACCACCTATAACCAAGATTTACAAGAAGAAGAAGGAAAGGGACAATAGGGACAAATAAGAGTTAGTTAGGGGAATAGTCCACATGGACCCAAGAAGGGATATTATGTGACTCCACTTGTGTATATAAGGGGGGGAAAACCATGAACAGGGCATGTTATCACTTTTGGGAATGTTGGGGGGAGGCGACTAGCTCCTCGAATTGCTAGTACCTATTTTACTGCTTATTATTGTTCTTTTTGGATATTCTTGCATCTTTGTTTCTCATTTCAGATCAATATATACATATAATTGTTTCTGTTGTTATTTTGGTGTGTTCAGGAATTGTTGGAATTGCTTTGTTGATTGATTTCTATTGAAGTTCCTATCATGTGCTTGATCTTGTTTTGCAGGTGATGAATTTGATTGGTGACGTGCGGGGAAAGGTGGCAGTTATGGTGGATGACATGATTGACACAGCTGGTCAGCTTCGCACAAAATCTAATTGCTTTCCGTTTTCATTAAATAGGAAAAGCATGCAACAGATGATTTATTTTAAATAGTATCTTTCCTTTTATTTTCTAATGTTATCATCCTGATCACTGCTATTTGTTCTTTTTCTAAGTGACTAATTGGTTTTTGGGTTACAGGAACAATTGCCAAAGGTGCAGCTCTGTTACATCAAGAGGGGGCCAGGGAAGTCTATGCTTGCACTACCCATGCTGTTTTCAGGTACCTGGATCCTTAAGTCTAAGATCATCTTTTGTTCCTTTATAGAAGGGGCAAGATAAATAGCCCCTTAGGTTACAGATATTGTTACATCAAATTTAATCTTTTGGATTACAGAATGATCTATGGCTCAGATATAGAAGAAATTTAATGACATCGGAACAGTAAATACGCACAACTACTTATGATTGCATTTAATGTTTTTCTTCTTTTTCTCTGATCTTTCCTTCCTTTTCACTTCTCTCTCCGCTCTCCTTAAACCTCACAACTCTTTCTTAACTAAAACATTTTTTTTTTCCTTTTCATTGATGCTGAATACACTTCATAATTATAAAATACTTTTTTATGATATCAAAATATTTTTAGCCTTCGTTAATACAAATTTGATGCTAGGTTTTTACTGTAAGTCGAACCAAGATAGATAGTGATTATTTGATTATCTTTTTCATCATTATATTATTTTCCTTATCTAAGCTAATAGAGATAAAGTAAAAAAATAAAATAAAATGAATTCCTTGGTCTAGCAATTAAAATAAATAATTTATCATATACCTTACTATTCTTTAAAAGCATATATTTATGAGAATGAATTATTGCAAATAAACACTATAGTAATATTGCTAACTAGTTTAAATATAAAAATGTAAAGAAACAAAAGAAGAATGATTATATTTCTTCAGGTTGATGATAATAGGAAAGGAGAAAATAATGAAAAAAATAAATAGGAGAGAGAATATAGGTGAATTAAATAGGAAAGAGAAGATATATGAAAGAGATATTGAAGAAATAACTAGGATAAGAGAAAAAGAGATAATTATGAGATAATGATAATAAATCTTCACCCTTCATTATTTTTTAATCCAAAGTCTTAATTTTGATGTAAATATATTTGTAAAGTTATGGGGTTGATCTTGTCCCTCATAAAATGCTAAAATTTATAATTTGGATAGACAAAAAGAAATTACTATGACATGATAATAATTCTTCACCCTTCATTTTGTGTTTTACTCCAAAGGTTTAAATTTGATGTAAAATTATGTGTTAAGTTATGGTCCTCATAAAATGCTAAAATTTATATATCTATTTATTGATGCTTCTTTTAGTAATTTTGATGCTCGGTTAGTAAATTAGTCAACCAACTACAGTAGTTTTGAAATTATGCTGTTAGTTAAATTTTTTAATGCATGGGGGGTTAAAGTCGCTTTACCATCTTTTTGGAGTAGGTGAAAACTACAAATTTACTTGGGAGATTAGCTGACTACTAGAATACAACAACGAATTTTTTATTTTATTTAAATGCTTCAAATATGATTTTCATTATATATATATATGAAAACACTGCTAGTTTCCTCTATAAATTTGATTATGATTTTATTGAATGACAAGACTTGGACTTCGCATAATAAAAAAGTCATTGTAATTGTTTGTACCAAAAATTGTATTTATTTATTGCTTATCTACAGTCCTCCTGCAATAGAGAGGTTGTCAAGCGGCCTGTTTCAAGAAGTTATCATCACAAATACCATTCCTGTGTTGGAGCAGAACTATTTTCCTCAGCTGACTATCCTATCAGTTGCGAATCTTCTAGGGGAGACCATATGGCGTGTTCATGATGACTGCTCAGTGAGTAGCATTTTTCAGTAAAATTGGATTAGTACAGAACTTATGAAATTTGTTCATGCCACCAAAATAGAAAATGAAATTAATTCATTCTTTCTCCATTCATGATTTGGTTGATGTGCTCTCAGTTGTTTGCTTTCATTCCATTCTTTAGCGAGGAATACAAGGATTGCCTATATTGATTAGCTGAAATTTCTGAACCCTACATTTGATATAGAAGAGAATAAAAAGTTTGAGCAACAAAATAAAAAAAATTAAAAAATTAAAAAAAAGCCTGGTAAATTTGTAATCCTGCCCAATTTTTGAAGGATTTATTGAATGTGTTAATTGCTCATTGTCTGGCTTGTCCAGTGGTAATCTCAATAATAATGTTACTATATATATTTTAGCTGGAATTTTCTTTAGTTTGAGGAGTTGCGATAATTTGTACATAGATTTATCATTCACTTTGAAGATGGTAGTGCTGGGAGTAGATTCATTTCGGATCTTTTCTGATTGTCAGGGTGGCTATGAACCCTATTCGAGCTTGGGCATTGACTGATCAATTTACATCGGTGGTTTAAAATTCAGCTTCACTATTGCAATTTTGCTATCTCCTTGATAACATAACTGTGAACCTATAGCAAAATCATAATTTTCTCATCAGAGGGGCTGAATCTTTTAGTTGTTTGTGTTCAAAGCTTTATTACTATGTGGTTCAATAGGCAGGTTTTTAGTTACTTCAATTGAATTCTGTACAAATCTTAGAGATTCTTGTTTACGGGAAATGTTAAAAGAGTGAAAGGAAACAGATGTATAATTTCTGTTTTATTTTTGAGTTGAATGTCGAATTTTTTTGTATGATAAATTTTCAATTTTTGGATATCATTAATATTTTGTGAACTTACTGCAATTTGCTTATGCTTATGTAGTATATTAAATGAGCATTTTCTGCATGAATGAAAGTTTTCTAATCTGCTGTATGATTTGATCTTACTCCTAGGCATCCCCAAGACGATTGTGATTGGTACAAGTGTACCAAATTCTCAGTGAAATGTTATCATTTGATTGTGGAGATTTCTACCATATTAGCTCGCTATCGCCCCTTTATTGTGTGTGAAATTGATCCTAACTTGTTTCATTAGAAAGTAAGTGAGTTTTGTTGGATAATTTTATCTTTTTATTTGTTTTTGAAAACCATGAAAGTGGTTGGCCCAGGGATTTTGATTTCCTAGATGTATAACAGGATATCCATGATCAACTGTTTAGAAACGTTACAAAATATGTAACCCTTAAGACTTTGGTTTCGCTCCCAATATCATCAAGTATCATCTTGTGTATTTCTTATATGTTATTTTTAAGTTAAGAATTAAGGTTGCATTATGAGAATTTATACACCAATGAAATTCCATGAGGGCTGAAAAACTACAGTTTGTTCACTACACAAAGATTGGAGTAAGTTAATAGAACTGATTTTTCAGCGTACACAATCACTGAAGCAAATAAAGAACTGAACGGAAGTAAGAAATTATGGTCTTTTATTCAATCTACTTGACAAATCTGCAAAAGTATCAGTCAATTACATGGATCATGACAAGCAGAGGAGCTCTAGAAGAACCCTTACAAAGCCCTTATACACTAGCAAGCTTTAAGTATTACAACATGAAAAGTACTAAAAAGGCTCTTCCTGGCACATGCACATCTCTTTGTACAAAGAGAGAATGACATATAAGAGCTGCCAAAGCCAGTAAGAATACACAAACTGGTCAAAGTTTGAGTGTGAGATCAGGTGCAGAATTATCCAAGTTCACTGCTGGAGCAACTTCCAAAAAATTCATACTTGAACTTCCTGCTGCTGTAAAACTTGGATGAGTATTGCCCGCCTCAGCTACCTGACGGAAACTACCTGGCCATAACAACTCTGCCTCATCATCCTCCACGAATATTGGGAGACCAGGATACCTGTGTTCAAATCTTGCATTGCTCCTAACATCTGGTGATCGCACGGGTGGTGTATAGTGTTGATGCACTGATGAATGAGCTTGGATCCCCAAAGACCTGAAGGAAGAGCCATGAAGAGGCAGAGATGCTAAGCTGGAGTACCTCTCAGAAAATATCCCTATTCGCATAGCTCGTTTTGCAAGTGTTCTTTCTCTCTTATGTGCATTCTGATGGCCACCAAGTGCCTGGGAGCTGAAGAATTTTCGATGACAGTAATTGCAGGAAAACACTCGCGGAATGGCTGCTGCCGTAGTTTGAGTGACAGGTTCATTGCTACTCTCACTTGTGCTCGACAATGAAAGTCCTACAGAATCCCTTGCTCCTGACTCATTGTTATTGAAGCAAAGAGTTAAATCAAGTAAAACTGGATCTGAATTTGATTGAATCTCTAAAGGATTAGTGAGATTGGATGAGTTAGTGAGGCTGTCATTGGAGGGAGTTGCAGAATTTTCTTGGTTTGATAGGTTGGAAGCTACTTGGCTGCTAACATCAGAATCATTTTCAGAGAAAGCTTCCACTTCAAGGTCAATTTCTGGGTTCATGGTTGAATTGAAATTTTGAGGCGAAGAGCTAGATTACATTCTAGATATGCAATGCCAGAATGGTGAAGTCCGAATAATCTTTTGCTGCATTTACATAATGTTCATCTGCATTTTTCAAGATATGATGAATGCTTAGTTCATTGCAATTTAAAATTACTAACATAGAAGGCAACGTCTTGCGAGCAGGACATTACAATTGGAAAATCAACGCTCAATGCAACCTTTGATATAGAAATGAATTGAGTTTTAGAAGGACTTGAAACAAAACCGTTAATGCTTGCAACTGCATGAAAAATAGATAGATGATTATTACATACACTTAAGATACATCAATAAAATGATTTAGGAAGAGAACAACTGCAGAGGAAGACTAGCAATTTTACACTTCATTTTGAATTTTATAATTAAAAAAAGGAAATTAGGCTGTACACAAAAACAACAAAAAAGCATAAAATAAAAAGGAAACCTCAAATAATTTCTATTTGGCGACAATAATGTCTTCACCACATATCATTCTCTAATCGTTAAAGAAGAATTCTAACAGAAAGAAAAATTACTGGTACATATTTTCCAGAGAATAAGTTCATTAAGTAGACAAATTCATATTCAACCACATATATGTAACAGATAATTTTCAGCAGAATTATATATTGTATGTGCAGTGATCAAACAAACTGTGTTCCTGCCTGCTGAAACCAGAATAGAAAAGAACTATATGCCACTCTATTAAATCATTTGAAACCAATGCTCACAAGGGCAAGAGAAAGTGGGGAAAACCATACATATCTTATTGTTACGTTTCTTTTTCTATATTTTCAAAATATTGAAAAGCAAAAGCAGACAGATGCAGTACCAATGAAAGGATTTTTTAACAAGAACTTTTATATTTTATTTAAAATATGATATCCATACATTAAGCAAATGAAAGACCTCAAGGTGTGACACAAGTGCTTTGAGAATTCTCCCTCACTCTGTCCATATGCATCAAACATTTATTCAAAATATTTGAGAGACTGGGAATATTGCAGCAATGCACAGGCATGTTAAGAGTGTTGCTATAACAAGTCTTTAATTGCGTCAAGAGCATCAAGTGCAAAACGGAAGCTTTATGGATATCTAAATTCTAGATGAGTATTCCTGGATCTAGAGAAACTTATAGCAACACAAAACTATCGTAAAGCAAATGCCAACAATTAATTTTTGGTAACTGAGAGATATGGAAATACTTCCCTAATTTCCTTAGTTTTGATCCTATCTGTGTTGTCTAATGGCAGTTGTTAGGACTGGACTTAATCGTCTCAATGATAACAACTTGGTGTCCAGTAATGTAGGCCAAGCTTTTTACGGCATTTGATAGGGCAATACTCGGGCATGTTACCAATAAACAAGAGACATTTAGAATCCCGTGGTTTAGTTAGTTTTGAGATCATCAAGTGTTCCAAAAAACAGTACACTGTAATATACCACAGCATGGTAGAATCCATCATTTAAACAGTGGTAAAATAGAAGGGTGTATTCTACTATTTAGAGGAAACACTCAATTAGTCGGAATATAATAAAGTAGGATGGGTATTGAGATATCTTGAGCTACATAGCGAATGAATGTGAAACTGTTTGATTCATGGTGAGAGCGCTGGAATTTGGGCAGTCATACATCTTATTTGCAAAAAAGAGAAATAGGAATACTTTTGGTAGGGAGAAAGGGGATCCTTCTAGTCTGATATGTGAGAATATTGGGATGCAGGAAAGTTGAAGCTTCATAATACGAGTTCCCAATTATTAGAGGAAATGAACCATCTATCATGAACAAATTTTCAGTGGTTTCTGTTGGTTTGTTAGGACACTGAAATTTCATTCTCTAATATTTTCTCACCCGCTAAAAGCGAAAAAAAATTTGAAGGAAGGAACACAGAACATATTGCACTCAGGATAATATCGCAATAATGAAAGAGAGAAAAAACACACACACACACAAAGTGCTAGTTAGTGGCTTGACATAAAGCAACGACTGAAATTTATAAAGTTGCTTCAATACAATGAACACCACATTTCCCCTTCCTCTAGAAAAATGGCAGGTTGCTAGAAGAACTACAGAAAGTCAATTCCTCTGTTTTGTTTATTAATCAGTAGAAAATAAACTCTAATTTTTAATATTTCCGAATCTCCTAACATACAAGAATTTCAATAACATGGCAAATGAGCAAAAGTATGTAAGAAAAATAGTTAATACCAACAGAATGAGCAGTAGAGGAGGCTCAATGACCAAAACTGCTGATAGTTATTGACTGATAGAGAAATTGGAAGCTACTACTGAGGAATAAACGAGACACAGAGCCTGGAAACTAAGGAACTTCATACTCGCAACAAATAAGGTCACTTGTTCAAAGCTATAACTACTCTACTTTAATCAGCAAACCAAGTATATGAAGCACATAAACTACTTAAAGTGGCATGAAAAAATACTCAAAATTAACAATTTTTTAACCTAAACAAGTCCCAAGTCTGAAAACTTATTGCGTGTGATGGTCTAATCAGAGAAAAAAAACTCCTCAAAATACAGGACCAAAGATCCAATCTCATCTGTTATTGATACATAATAGAGTTAGGTAGTTTAAATTATTGATACATGCTCATTATGTGTTGCACAATCAAGATGTACATAGGGTTCGGAAAGTTATAATTTGTGTTAAAAGAACAGTAAAAGTGTGGAGGATATTTGATTCTTGAGAATGATATACAATATGTGACAAAAACTTATGAAATAGCAACAGAAAAGAAAGACTACTCTTCAAAGTTCACAGAAATTAATTTTACAAAAGAAAATGCAGTATAGAATGTACTGCAGCACCAAACAAAAATCAAATTGATGGAGGAGAAAAGCAAGTATCTCACAGATTATCAATCTAAACTTCAATTCCCTAGTTTAAGATTTTAAAGTTAAATTTTTACATAAGTTTAAAAACAAGCTAACAGAAATTAGACAGTTAATGAACTTGAATTAAAGGAATCCCAGAGAATAAAGCAAGAAAAACAAAAGTTGCAGCAAAGGTGCTAAATATAATTTCGCTTAGAAGATTTGCAGAGTGAAATTCAACAATAGGCATGAAAGACAGAAAAATGAAAACAACAATCCATCAAAGTAAGAGAATTCAAGAACTCAGCACAAAGTAATACACAAAAACACATCATTTATCTTAGTCCAGCTATATTTACAGAAAATTAAGGTTCCATTATAAGCAACATATGATGTTTAATGAAAATTCAAA